TCTCTCTCTCTCTCTCTCTCTCTCTCTCTCTCTCTCTCTCTCTCTCTCCTCTTCTCTCTTTCTTTCTCTCTCCTCCCCTCTCCTCTCCTTTCCTTTTCCACCCTCTCTCTCTTCCAAGAAAGGAAGTTTCAGCCGTACATTCTTGAGCATTCTCTCGAGACATTTATAAACCATCAGGTGTTTGAGCTTCACTGATAAATAAGATTCCCATTGATTCCTATGACCTCTCCCCAGCAGGAGAGAGGAATAATGATAGCCTTGCACTTTTCCAGCAGTTCACAGAAAGTTCACAAGGCTCATGCCTACTACTGAGGACTATTATCTCTTTTTCTCTTATGAAGAAACTGAGTCAGACAAGAAAAGGATATATTAATTGTCCTGAAGTTTATGGCTAAGACAGAAAACATATCTATTATATCGTGCATGCGCGTTTGTGTGTCCTTAGTTGAGTCTTTATTTTTGTTTTATTTTGTTTCACTTTTTGAGACTGATCTCATATTATACAGGCTGGCTGTGGTCTTCTATGTAATGGAGGCTGGCCTTCGACTCCTGACTATCTTGCCTCTACCTACTGGCTACTAGGATTACCAACATATGTTTCTCTGTATCACTCAGCCTCAGATCTCTAACTAATAAATTTATACTCCATTGTGGGCAGTGATCTCCTTGCTGTACAACGTATCTACTCCACTGTGAGAATCCAAGTTCCATGATGTTTCTATTAATAAGTCCTAGGGTTTTCCTGGGAGAAGAAATCTTAAATTGTAACTAATCCTGAAAAAAGTGTGTGAAAATTTTCACTATGATTCACACTTAAAGAAACACAAACTGAAGATGGATAAAACAAGACTTAGAGCTAATTCCACTGCCAGGCTTGACCTCCAGCTTCTCACATTCTTCAACGAAAGCACGGGGAAGCAAGGTTTCCCTCTAAGGGACCCAGGGCCATAATTAAGTTCCTAAACTGAATACAAAAGGTCTTTCTAAGCAATGAGAGGGCCATGACCAGTGCTCTGTGTGAGAGTATATTAATAAGGCCTTTTATACATGCCTGCAAGAGCTTCTTATATAAGATT